AGTCACGTGATTAGGTGTGGGAGTTGGCTATGTTTCTATTTCGGAAACGAAATGGACATTTCTGATTATTAACAGGAAACTGTGTATAGCTACACAGTGGAGCATGGATCCTATTTTTTTACATTAACTACAATCAGGGATGCGCAGTGAACCATTGCGAATCAATATATTTCTATTTTGCTGTTATGGAAAGGTTATTTTGTTCTGTCGACGGTCACACTCACCTAATTGGTTAACGTACTTTAGCTATTTCCACTGACAAAGCTGACCCCGATTCGGCTGGTAGCCACCTCGCTGTATAGCCGTTGTTCTGTGTCACGTTTTCCGCCATTTACAAAAAATATAATTACCGATATGTGAAAAAAAAAGGAAATTGTTAAAAGTTATAGAAATTCTAACAAAATACTTTTTTTCCCTTCAGAAATTAAATAAAAAATTGAGCAAGTATAGTGTTTGCCTTATGAAAAGGGATACCAGTGCATCAGCAATAATTGAAACAACTTGTTTTCGACTTGGGGTGTTATCCCCTATACATGTACAGTTGTACATATATTTAAAGACACATGAAAAGTGTGTTTTTTCTTGCTTAGATAAACTTCCCTTTTCAATATCCTCATTTTCATGTTTTATTATATGTGTTAAAATCTCTGGATAGCAACTGTGGTAATAAGTGTATGGTTGGATTTGGAGAGGTCGACCTTAATCATTTGGGTTCTTTTGTTTTGTTTTTGTTTTTGTTTTGTTTTGGGTTTTTTGTGATGGGGTGGGGATTGTGGCAATTGTAATTCTGTAAAATGCATTGCAGTATGCTATTTATGTGAAATTCATCTGCAGACAATGTCTTTAACAAATGTTTCAATAGAGTGTCAAAGGTAATTATTTAGTTCATCTTCAAAATTCTAAATTCCAAAGCGAAAAGAGGACAAATTAATTTGACTCCGGTGTCCAAATATTCATTAGCCTAATGACATAAAATGCATTAATCAAGGTAGAACTTCTGTTGGTGATGGTTTTATAATTGGACCTTCGAATTCGTGACAGTCGCTTTAACCAACTGTACTATCTGTTCACCGGAAGTCATCTGGTAGTCTTGGTAAAGTCAAAATAAAAGAGCAGTGGGCTTTTCTAGCGTTTTGCCTGCCTTGGGACAGGGATCGTTAAAAAAAGGTGGTCGGTTGGTGAAGTGGATAGTACATTTGCCTTTCAACAAGGCGGCCGGGGTTCGATTCCCCGATCGGACGTAAAAACGTATGGGGTCACCTGTCCGATCACATGGGTTTTCTCCGGGTACTCCGGTTTCCTCAAACAATAAGACCTCCCGCGCGCTTACATCCGGGCCACCAAGAGTAATTAATAAAAGTTGAAATAACTTGTTTCAAAATTGTTGTAAAATAATCCAGTCTATAATTTATCATAAAAAAGGTCTGTAGAAAATCGATTTTGTTTAGGATCATTTTTAATCTGGAGACATACATTCATGAATAGCTACAGTTTTTTGCATTGTAACGGGTAGGATTTTGTATGAATTCTGAATAAAGTAGCCTTTTACTTCCATTTCATGTTTTCCGGTTAGCGTCGTTCGTTACAGACCGGAAGTTTATCTACTTCCGCTGGTAGTGTATTTCCGTAAGCGTTATGTGATCTTATTGGATAGAGGATCGGGTATTGTTGGGGTGATGTATAAATAGCGAATGCACGTGTGGTTCGGTGTCATAGGAGGACAACGGGGACCACGTGCACGCGAAAGACATGGATCTGTGGACCGAAGCTGCTGTGACATCCTTTACGCATTTGTGACCTGGACGGGCCTAGGACATTTTTTTATCATAAGAGGGCCTGGTAAGCGGCAACCTACCCCCTCACGTCGACCGAAACACAGACTACCCGTTAGATGAAGGTAGACATAAAACCACTTACCAACCAAACAACAAGCCAATGGTTCGGTGTCGTCTGCTTGATAACCAAACTATTCGGTAGTGAGTCGGACGTAAAACCACTCAAACAATCAACCAGCCACTCATGTCGTCTACTGGATAACCAAACTATTCGGTAGTGAGACGGACGTAAAACGTTTCAAACAAACAACCAGTCACTCATGTCGTCTACTGGATAACTGAACTACTCGGTAGTGAGACGGACGTAAAACCACTCAAACAATCAACCAGCCACTCATATCATCTACTGGATAACCAAACTACACGGTAGTGAGGCGGACGTAAAACCACTCTAACAAACAACCAGCCATTCATATCATCTACTGGATAACCAAACTATTCGGTAGTGAGACGGACGTAAAACCACTAAAACAAACAACCAGCCATTTATATCGTCTGCACGATACCAAACTATTCGGTAGTGAGACGGACGTAAAACTACTCAATCAATCAATCATTGTTCGGTAGCCAGAATTTACAGTTTTTTGGCATTGTTGTAAGGATCCTGAGGATCTTGAAATTGTCAGACATCTTTAAGTTGCTAGCGTGCTGTCATATTCCTATTAAAACACGTAGTTTTGTACGAATATTGGTGCTGATACTAAAATGTGTCTTAAGTAATGTCGTTATGTAAATGAAACTTGATACACAAGGATACACATGTTTCAATCACTCACTAAGCTTAAATGAAACTCTAAATCAAACTTTCACTCAAATTCAATTATTATAAAATTCGGAAAGTAATATAATCTGTATGCGTATAAAAACTGTGCCTGATGCTTTTATTCCGTAAACATGCATATGTAATATGTTTTCATTTGAAAATCATGAAAAAAAATCACTGATTTAAATTCCACGTTCATGAATCATTTTACCAATAAAGCCTCATGTTACTTGGATTATGCGTTAACGAGCGAAGCTATTTCAACATTTTTTCTTTCAACTATTTCATTCGTCATTAAACTGAAAAGAAATTAACACGAAAAATAAAAATAAAAAATATATATAAAAGATGACATGACAAAATATAAATAATTGAAATATAAGACATATATATCCGCGCTGGAAGATGAATTCAAAAAAGACCGTAATTTTGTTGATACTAAGCCTCGTTGTGTCAAACGCCAGGGAGTAAGGCGTTTGTGACTTAAATAGGATTCCGACATCCGGTCAAAGACAGGAGGGGAAATAATCCAATTACGATATACCGTTATATTATATGTGTCAGCGTGTGGTGAAGATAAGGGGAGCGGTATATATGCATTGGCATCAACGTTCCGTGTGTAATTTTGTCCTCGTTGGCCACAGTAATGAATAATTTCCGGTGGGTCTGGAAGGAAACGGTCAGGGACGGTCTCGTGAGATCCAAGATTTTGACTGCTCATAATAAAATTGTAAAGTTTTGTAAATTTCTTGTCCGATGTCCAATTTATGACTGAAAAGCTGTCATACAAGGAATTATAAGCTTAACATTTGTACAACTTTTTAATTCCGTGGAGGCACGGTAGTCTAGTGGTAGAACGTCGGGCTCATGACCGAAGCTTTGCGGGCTCGAGTCACGGAACTGTGTTGTATCTATAAACAAGATACTTTACTCCGCTTGTTCCAGTGTACTCAGCTGTAAATGAGTACGTTGATGGGGAGTGCTAGAATTGTTGAATGCTAGCTGTGAGCGCCGAAATGCCAGCACCGGTTGTATGCTCCCCAGGGATTTGAGAAAATATATTGGCTGGTTGCAAAGGCCCTATAACCACAGATAATAATGTGTGAACCGCTTTGCGTCGACCTACAAACAAGGTAGTGATAAAGTGGTATATAAGAACCTCAAATTATTATTATCATTAATTCAATTGAATTTTGAAATCCCATAACTCACCACATGCTACTTTACACAAGTGTGCTAGTCCTGCGTCTTGCGTTGGAGAAACCTCCTTTGCGAATCTTCTGATTTAAAAAAAAATACTTTTGGCTCCTTTTTCAGCGACAAAACAGCAAAATTTAGAAATGAATTCGAGACAATATCCCTAGTTGACAATGACACTTGCCTGACATGAAATCTGAAGGGTTGGCATCCGATACAGCTTGATTAGTTCTCTTATAAGAGGACAGTATCAAGATGCGTCCCAAGAAGCTGGATCAGCTTACATCGACGTCGACACTGCATAAACACTCCATGAAAACATAATGAGTTTCTTAGAATTATTTTATAGGCTCCAACCGATTGTTGCCAACTTGTTTCATTCTTATGTTACTCTTGAAATACTATAGAGAGAAAATTGGTTGCCAAGTGACTTCAGAAAATTCTTGACTTTAATCACCTCAATTTCATCCTGCATCTAATTACAGTGTGTTCTTTTCGTCAGAGCCTGATCTTCTGTGAATGCTCCATTACAATGCCACGGACTTGGACAAACAACTGTTCAGAAGTTCTAGCGCTTCTGAATATCAATGACCATGGCATATTATTGAAGAGCGTGGAAAAAACTGACACTCTGTTCTGGATCCAATCCTAGTTTATGAACAGGGATAGGAAACGGGTGAGAGTAAGCAATGTTGGCTGTTATAGAAATGAGGAAACCCTTGACTTGAGTGTCATGTTACGCTTGGAACAGGAGTGTACTCCTGGTTATCATACCTCCGCTTTCTATTCAATTTGAAGCATGCTTGTTGATCGTCAGTATCTTGGTGAGCTCAAATACACGTAGGACGTAACTGAACTGGAACAATACGCAACTCATTGAGTTTATTTCCAAACACTTCAAAGAGTATACCCCCAATCCAGCGTGGAGTTGGTATAATATTGGCCACGTCATTTATGAACAACGTTTTTCTTCACAGATATTATAATTGTGTTTTACATCCTATTAACAGCTTTGGTCATTTAAGGACGTGCCAGGATTTTGAATTTTCGGAACCATTTATGATTTTATTTCTTTTAATTTGTATTTATTTGCGGGAAAGGGGGCAACAGATTCAAATCGAGTGGAAAAAATGAAACGTAGGGTATTTTCAAAATATAGCTTGATGCAGCAGTATTATGAAAGACAAAAAACGACAGCGATATGGTATAATATAACAATAATTTATTGAACTATCACATGGCTCGCGACACGTGATCTAACGAGCCTTTTTAACTACTAGCATCCATAAGTTAGTTAACAGAACAAGTGTTATGTCACATGTATACCACAACAGTGCATCATATAATACAACGACAAACAAGTATATCCATCACAATTCAATATCACATCTCGGTCCTAAATCTCGTACAGTACATGTCATAGAGTTTGGTACAATACCCCCATCCCACAAGATACCGCGTCATCGTCAGTACATATAATTCGGTCGCAAATATCCGTACAGTACATGTCGTATAGTGTAGTGCAATATCCCCCATCTCGCAAGACAACGCGAATTCATTATTGTGTCCATCACAATTGATTATTAGTATCATTATTCGGTCACTACTCCGTACAGAACATGTCATAGAGTTTAGTGCAATATACCCCATCCCACAAGCCGCCCCGAATGCACAATTGTGTTCATCGCAATTCATCATCAGTATCATTTCTCAGTCACTACTCCGAACAGTACCGTATGACATGTAGGTTTGCAGTATCTCCAATCCCACAAAACACCGTGAAATCACCCCTAAATGTTTCCGTCAAATTGATGTGACGTTCTCGTCATACAGCTCGGTGAAGCATTCAACTACATGCGGTTTTCAATGTCTCATCAACAAACATGGAAAAATATAATTCTATGATTTAATGAAAGATAACTAGTTTCGATATCTGCTTCTCTCTCACACAGTATATATTGTAAGAATACCTATTTTAGAGGAATTTGTTTTTGGCGTATTAGTTAAAATTCGAACAGATAAGCGCATTGATGAATCGGCGCTCTCACAATAAGTGTGATGTAGAACTACATACAGAAACTTCAATAGGTGCAATCATATATAAGCGCCGTACAAAGGCGCGAAAATCTCTAACAGTTGAATACCGCTAAAATATGTCCGTTTACAGTATTCCACGTAAGAACTTTGCGTAGTTTACCTCGTGGATGTTTTTCTCAATAACACACCAACCACCAAAATTAAATATTTCTTACTGTTCATTTGGAAATTATCAACCACCCTTCCTAGGTTCCCATACAGTGAAACACATTCATGCCATTTTCACCACATGTGTTCACATCCTCCACCCAACGTCCGAAAATTACGTTTGTTTACTAGTTACTGGTTGTACACGGAAAGATATTTCTCAAATCTAGATCTCCATACTCGGGCTATTCCACATGTTCGTACAGCGCATCTCTAAACACGTTTCAACTTCTCACAAATCACTGTCAATAATGAAACTATTTCAACAACCTCAGATTCCCATTTTCTAATTATCCCACGCTCACACTATCCCAAATAATGTCGTGAGACACAGTTGTCTGTAAAACATACGTCACTAGTCACGTGCTCGTTCAATAAACAAATATTTACTAAATGTGACTATTGTTTTAGGGTGATAGTGATGATACCTTTACTAGGCTACGATATACATTGTAGATATAGAGACGACCATGACAGGATCTAGTCAATGGGGAAAACAATCTGTAAGACGACCTGTTAACGCTATATTCGATAATATCACATAGTGCTATGGAAATTACCTTGACCTTCTGAAGTGGATAATGTCACATGACGCTATGGAGATAGTCTTGACCTACTTAAGTTGATTAATCATATGATGCTATGGAGATAGTCTTGACCTACTTAAGTTGATTAATCATATGATGCTATGGAGATAGCCTTGACCTACTTAAGTTGATTAATCATATGATGCTATGGAGATAGCCTTGACCTACTTAAGTTGATTAATCATATGACGCTATGGAGATGACATTGACATGGTTAATTGCACAACATTAAATAAAACCTATTCAGATTATCTAGATCGGGTTAATAGAACTGCCACGTGACTCTATAGAATATTATTAACAGGGTTAATGGAACATTATAAAGGTCATCTGAAAATATGGGGATGACCTTGACCGAGTTAATAGAATTATGCCACATGACGCTACAGGGATGACCTTATGGAACGGTAGGAATAACCTTAGAAGGCTATCAATCTGACACAAAGGATATGGCGTTACTTCAGATTACGCGTGCAGACATCCATTAATGATTTAGAGCGCGTCACGCGACGTACATAAAGTGACCTAAATATATCTCATATATATGAAAACAATATCACACTCCTCCCATTCTCTTGTGCACTTAATACATATTGTGTGCAATTTTCTTTATCATTATAACTTACAACTCCGCGTAATAATAAACATGTGAAATTTGATTATTTTATCACCGGAATAAGTAGAGTTAGTATACAGCTCATAATCTGAATTGTAGCTTGGGGACAGTTTCATGAATTTATAGGCCACTTGTCATATAACAATATCCTGTAGCCAGAGCGAGATCGAGTGTCAATAGTACCCACACGAAAGAGTGGTCAATACGCAATGTTCAATAATATCATTTGACCGTGAAAAGATATGTATCTCCTGCCTTGAGAAAATAGAGAGAATGTCACGTGACATATAGTTTATGAAGAGACAAGTACTTTGATGTTGTCCGAGGTGGAGGAACCATGTGTCCTTGAGTTACCATCAGATACCCAGAACGAATATCTATCAAAGACTAAGTGGTATGACAGATCACAAGTCACACAGGACCAGATGTCCTTGAGGAAACAGAGACGTGAAACAGAGACGTGAAACAGAAACGTGAAGTCCTAAAGACCACCAGCAGTCGTCCTTGAAAATTCACCTTTGATATGAGAGATCACATGTCTTGATAAACTTGAGAGATCAAAAAAAACAAGAGTTTATAAAGCCATACCGATCACAGTGTTATGAGCAACCACTTGTCCTAAAGAGACTTCTGGTCCATGCGAAACGCCGTGTAATGAGACAATAGTCCTTCAGAAAACGTATGTCGTAAGATTTCTTTTCCTTGAGAAACCACAAGTCATGAGCAACTTCTGGTCCTTGAGAAACCGTGTGTAATGAGCGTTAAGTCATTGGGAAACCACATGCAATAGCACTTCTTGTCCTTGAGAAAACGTGTGTAATGAGCGGCTAGTCCTTGAGGACCGTGTGTAATGAGACGCCAGTCCTTGAGAGACGTGTGTAATGAGACGCCAGTCCTTGAGAGAAGTGTGTAATTAGACGCTAGTTCTTGAAAGTTCCTGTGTAATGATACACCACATGTATAATTAAATAAATTTCCTTGAGAAACCACATGTACAAATGTAATAAAACTACCTGTCTTTGAGAACCGAGTGAAATGAGACCCAAAACCTTGAGAAACCACGAGCATAAATCTTCTTGTCCGTGAGAACCGAGTGAAATGAGACGCTAATCCTTGAGAAACCACGTGCATAAATCTTCTTGTCCTTGAGAACCGTGTGAAATGAGACGCTAGTCCTTGAGAAACCACGTGTAATGGTACACTACATGTATAATTAAATAATTTTCCTTGAGAAACCACAAGTCATGGATAACTACTAGTATTTGAGAAACCTTGTGTGCAGTGATCATGAGATGCTAATCCTTTAGAACCGTGTGTTTTATATTTCAAATGTTTTGATTGATTCACAAACTGAGTAAAGATATACATATATTTGCGGTATAACAGTAGCCTCGTAACTGACAATATAAATACAACGCAAAATTATTAATATAGATACAATCAATTTTTGATTTCCTTTAAGATATCAACTTCACGCAGTTATACACACTCATCGCACTCATCCACACACACACAGCACACGCGTACGACCATTCTCATCACAACGCTCTACTACACATATATAGTAATAAACACATCACCATATTCTTAAAAATAACCATTTTGATTTCATGTTAAAAATAGCACATATATATGTTTATATTTATCTTTCTTTTCATAGTCTTTTCAACTTCTATGACACTTAAATAAAATACGTTTGAATGACAGCTACGTATACTGTGGAACGGTAACTCGACAACTCGACAAAGTCAATGAAACCTGGTTAGTTTTAAAATCTTAATTCTACGTATATTCCATCGATGTTTTTTTTAAAAACATAAAGATTGAAAACATAAAGAGTTAGTTAATATAAATTGGTCAAAAGTAACCCGTGGAAACAAATACAAAAACAGATTTTCAACTAAAAAAAGGAGTAAAGGTGAACAGAAAGTCAAAGATTACTTAAAGCTAACTATACTGTAAAGATGCAACTGTTTGATAACTTTATACAAGTTAAAACACAAAAAAATCATCTGGAATATTTCCAAAAATAATAACAGAGAACAAATGGCATCGTTTGTATCTAGATTCCCAATGTTCATCCACAGACAGGAAATACAAACAAATACGTACATAATTAGATTCTGTATCATTTTGTAATCGAATCTAGAAATTTAATCAGACTTTTAAACACAGCAGGATTTTAATTCATTTTTTCATAATATTGAAATTCAAAACTCAAAATTGCATGTACATGGATTGAAACGCCATATGTTTACATGGAAATGCATTTTTTCTTCATGTTTTTAGACTTTTTACACAAATCTTATTTTTGAATGTTCGTAAATAAACCTTCAAACAACGACTTTGAACCTGTTCCGAGTGCGCTTAGTGCGTCAGTACCAAATTCCACAAAGACAAAATTTATCTCGGAACAATCATCTTCTCGTGGGTATTTAAACAGCACTTATCTTTACATATCATTTGTATTATGTCCAACAGATGTTTAATCGCAAAAAAAGATTGTTAGATACAGAGATCGACATATGAGAGCGTTAAAATAGGTATTGTAGATGACTTATATTTCGAGAGAAAATCATTTTCACGATGCTTCGCGAGAAATGTGGGATTTGAAATAAGATTTATCGCCGAATATAGTTAAACATCATTGTTTTTGCATTGCAAACTAACATCCTCTCGAATATATCGACGGTAGTAACATCGCATAGAATCAAGGTAGAAATGTTTACTGCAGGTCGATTAGTTTTAGCGAATATACATTTTTGCCACTCGCGAATATTTTCTCTCTGTGAAGATATAATGAACAGTATATATCAATTGGTAAAGGTATCTGAAAAATACTTATTAAATATTTATATCTGCAATCTCATGTGTAAAATGACTTTCATAAATATTTTTTTTTAAATGGTATTTAAAATGACAAATTTAAACTTTTTGAAAGTCCTTACCGTATCGAAATACATTGATTTTCCCTTTACTTATACCAACCCTGTTCATCTCGTTTATAAACGTACGAACACGCGAGCGATTACCTTAAAGCTATGATAGTTTTTTTTCTGCAAATTGGTCCGAACTTAAGCTATTGACTATTAAGAAAGTTCGATATTCTTGCCGTATTTCCAATATAATTGTACCATGTCGCACCACAAGTGATAAAGGATCATTGGTACCGTTTGCCTGCGTAACGACCGGTCGCCCGTTACTACTGGAAACCAACACGAAACAACTATCCCTGGGGGTACGGTAAAGATGAGCGACGTTCTGTTTATGACATTTGTGACAAATACGTCTGTTATGATATAGTACAGCAATGCACATACTTGACAAATGTAGATTTCTCTTTACATAATGGTTTATATCTCATACACTTTAAATGTTTGTGCATTGTCAAACGAAAACAAAATCTTAAGTTTGTATATTTGTAGCAAATAATAATAAAAAATAACATTGTAGTGCGAAAATATGTTAGTTCTTTCTCCATCCTTACGCTCCAGGAAAAAATGACAGGAAAATAAAGAAAGAAAACAAAAGTTTGACCAGCTAACTGAAGGAATTAGCATAAATGTTCCTGAATATTTGCGTCCGGAGAAGCGAGCTTTCCAGTTTATCGGAGTTCGGATTACCATTATTCCACTTCACAACATATTTCCTGTATATAAAGGATCTTGATCTATTTTGATCGATTTCAAGTCTGTGACGAAGTGAAAACGTTTTCAGTAAAAAAATGGCGTTAGCATTCTTGTAGTTCCTATTGGACTATAGGTCAAAAAAAAAACAGGCTGCATTTTTCTTCTAGCCTATTTCTCCTCTAGCATCAGACAGCAAAATGATTTCTAGCATTAAACAGGAAAATGTTTAAAATTATTGGAGTATATATATATTTGTTTTAATTTAAAATTCTAGAGACAGGGGCAACTTCTCAATAAATTACTGATGACTGATTTTCTTTGCAATGCCGTGATAGGTTAAGGATGTATGCCTCCTTATTGTATGTGTCAGGTATCTCAACCTCCGTTTCAAAAGAGTTCCTTGAAAAATCAGAAAATAGTTATTAGATTGTTCAAGGGAGATAACTCTTACACAAATCACAGATATGACCTAAGGAAGCATATACCCTTTAATCTAGACAAAAAAAAATATGCAATTGATGAAATATGACCGAGTACAAAGGCGGCCCTCAGTCAATGGTTCGTACGTATCAAAATATAACCAGACTGTCATTATTTCTCTGACAAAACACTTCAAGTTGATATGACTAATATATATATCTTAATACACCACAAAATATCACACACTTTGTCGTCTTTCATTCCCTTCACGTGCAGGACCAGATTTCTATTATGGAAGCAAATGACAAAAAATCAATTTCACCGTCTGCTCAAAAGTTATAAAAATCGATTGCCAGCTTTGTCTTCTTTGGGGAAGATTAAAAACTGCATTGTTTTATGTATCGTACGTAATACTTCTTTGATTAGTGTACCGTAGTTCTGACGTCATATGTCCCTCTGACGTCATTAGCTGTTTTTGTAATTAACTTTGATACTGCTCTCAAGAAAATATCAGGGTTTTTTTCCACAGCTATCCATTCCTATTAAGTCATGTAGAGGACTGCAAACCATTCGTGGAAACTTTTGCTAACTTCTAACTTCTACATCCTGACTTCTACTTCCGGCTTACTTTCTACTTCCGCTCACTCAGGTGCTCCTAAAAGAAATCTGCAAAAGAAAAAAAGAAATAACTATCATCAAATATTTCATTACTATACATTTGTGGTATATGATAACAAAAGAAACTATAAGATCGTCTCCATCGAAACATAATTATATACTTCAATTATTTACAAAAATGTTTTCGCCTTTATATGAATAAATAAATCTTATAGGTAAGGAAGGAAACACGGGGGTGGGGTCTTAACGTAACGTGGGAGGAAACCAGTTTCCAGAGAAAATCCATGTGGTCGAGCAGGTGACCCAATAATACGTGTTTACGACTAACTGGGGAGTTGGACCCGGCCGTCTTGGTGAAAGTCGATTGCACTATCCACTACGCCACAGAACAACCCTCGTTTCCATTCCTTTAGACTCTTATGAATCTCACTATAACTCGTTCCATACATGTAAGATATAACGGGACACTTAAAATAGAACATGTGCGAATCAAATAGTTGGTACCTACAACCACATATGAGGCGACCAACGTGGGATCATTGGAATATCGTGATTTTCTGTTTGCCCTTTTGGAAACAACAATATTGACTTGCCTTCCAAAATGATAACGCTATAACTTCCTGCATGTCTTTTCTCTTTCTTATTTACTCTTTTTTTATTCGGTGATGCATATCAAGGAAATTTTGTTTCCAATAATAAAAAAAAAAAAATATGAAACGGACTTTAAATGAAGTGCCAATATACCCAACCACCAATAAAATAAAATAAAATATCAGTTTGTGACGACGTTGTTTTAATAACATCACTGACAATATCAAATTAAGATTAAATTTCTCATATTACTGTTTCTTATCCTTTAATTCTGATTTATTTGGTTTTTTACTCCTGTTTTGTTGTATAACGTCAGTGAAAATGTCCAATTAATGCTTGAGCTCTTACAATTTACATTCATTCTCTTTCCATACTCCAACGTCAGTGAAACTATTATTGCCTTTTCTTTCTTTTATGTGCATATTGTTGTGTGCGAAATCGATTTCTTTTCTGTAAAGTCACAGACCACATTTAGAATTGAATTTCAAAAAAATCATCTCATTTTATAAATAAATAATCTGAATTTAGAATTTTCATCTAAAGATTGAAGCCGCATGAGACCCATAATACAGGATATAAAATATCTATTCGGATGGGTTTTGTTTCCAGAATTTGACAATTAATTTACGTGAATAGATTTAAGTCGTTTTAAATCATCAGGAGTTTGATATTTTAATTCTCTCATCAAACAAAATCAAATTAATTCCGAAAATAAACCGGTCAGTAAATGTAAACATGTTAAAATAAAATCAAAATAAGGTAAAAAAAAAGTACCTTACATATGATACTTAACGTGTGATTCGTGTCAGAGTTATCTCCCTTCATTTTTTTCAATTGGTTTATTATATGTTTAATACTTAAATATTAATTTCGTATAAGTTTCATCAAAACCGTCGTTCGTACACCTTTCATATATCATCAACATACATGTAGCATCAAAGAACGGTTAACACCGATGTAGTTTCCCCTTAAGGAAGTCTTTGGGACATATATATATGATGGTAATGAAGCAAAAAATTCCTTAACAACTTATTTCTGCAAATCACCTAATATTTGTTAATTTTTGTTTTCCGAATTCTGTTCCAATCGATTCCCTGACGATAGTTTAACATAAATACCGTACTGAGGTGCGTGTTTATATATCTACACTGACTAGAGCTGGATTTTACCAGTACACGCGACCTTCGCGAACAGATGTGATTTATTTGCGGCACGCCAACTGCACGGATTGTTTTCATAGGCGAACAATTAGAGTCTTTTATCCTAAATATATCTGCCGTTTGTTTACACTTGTCGCTCTATCTCGCTGAATTCCCTTATCGTATATATGTGTTTTGTTTACTCTCACGCGTCTGGCCTTCCAGTAAGATAGATGTGCTGGTGATTGAGGTAACACCAGGATAGACATCTACAGATCTGATAGACGGAAAAAATCAGGGAAGAATATATCCCCAATTAACATTTAGGAGACTGATAGTCCCTTAATCAAACCCTAGATAAATCATTAAATCTCGAAAAAATCTTTTTTTTAATGCATGAAAGGCGAATATCGAGGATAACGTGTAATACAGACTTAAGTCATGTTGACGGGGCGCCGTTTTTTACTTTATTTCATTTTAGTGACATCACCAATTCATTAAAGTAATTATTATAATCTTCACGAGGTTGATAAATAATTGTATCAACCTCCTTGAACGTTCATGATTGTAAACTAGTGATATCACCAAATTAGTTAGCTAGTTTCACTTAATCATTATAATGATATATCAACAATTATAATTCATTGTACTGATATCACTTTTATCAAATGATGATATGAAAGGAATACAATGTAAAACGGGGCGATAGGGTAGTGTAGTGGAAAGTTCACTCGCCGTTCACCAAAAGAGCTGGGGTTCTAATCCCCGATCGGACCTGAAAAGTTATTGGGTCACCTTGCCCGATCACACATGGGTATTCAGTATGACCCTTTGTGCACTTCCATCTGGGCCAACAAGTGTGATTAATATAACATGTAATAACGTGTTTCATAATTGTTATAAAATAAATCAAGTTTACATTTTACATGTAAAATGGCTCGCTATCTTCATATATGTTCTGACGTTTTAGAAGTGATGTGCGCAGTTTTGTTGAAGTTTTGTTAACAAAACAAATATTGCTTTTTATTTACCAGTTTTAAAGATGTTTTCTTATAAATGCCTAAAATAATAAGTTTTATTTACTTAAAACACCCATTAAACGAACGCAAATTTTTGGCTGAAAACTTGAGTGCTAACTCATTCTAGATACAGTTTATTGGAGATGTCAATTCAGCGTGTCTGGGACCTCGAACGATGACGGGAGTAGCTAGGCGCGATTTCACATGTACATTTACACGCACGTGGAAAAGCTCTCACAAATCAAATCTATTTCAGGCGAGCAGAGATCTCATTAGTATTCCTAATGCGATAGACATAAAACGAACAACATTGTCTATTTCATCGCTAAGAAACAGTAATAAGCTTAATCACTTAAAAACAATACCGGGGAATTAGCCATTTATATTTGGAATCGGACATAATATTCAATCATGTAACATATATACGACGAACATGAAATCGACAATACACTAATTGACTTACCTGTCTGAAAGGTATTGTCAGGTGCAAATGATATATTTATATATATATAGAAGGCTTTATATGGAAGCACTTAAGTCTGTTCCGTGTAGCCATAAAAGCGGTAATAGCCACATATTTTCCTTTCTCCCATTTACGTGATTCTTATTACAAGAACAGATGATGCGGATAATAAATTTCTATATTTAGAAATACTACATCCAATTACTCCGTTCGTCCGGCGGGAGAGGGATTGAATAATGATATTGTTAACGCCTTGACCTTCCTACACTAAAAATATTGATTTTGTTAGAAACAAGCATCATCCAATTTTTTTTTAAATCCTTTAAGATTAATGTAAACGACACTTGTATGATGTTTCAATTCATTCCGCTATAATAAAATGAAACAATAAATCGACTTATATAATGGTATCCATTTCTTTGATTTCTGAAATAATCCTACTTGTTTCGGATTTAGGAACAATTTTCCGTCATCGTATTTTTTTTTTAATTATATATAAAAAAAAAAGGGAAATAAATAAAACGGAACGTTAATGCATTTCTTTTCATTTTACTAAATATGGAGAATAATTAAAAACAAAATGGTCATTGATAAATTGAATTTAAATTTTGGAAATTTACTATGAATTGTAGGTTTAACCCAAGCCCATATTTTGATAATTTTGTATTTCTATGATTCCGTTGTCTTCCTCATTATATAATGCTTTTTGATGGGAATAGTACAACAAATATTGTAAAACGTTTCCAGTAAACTGCTTTACTCGAATCCCTTTGTTGTAAATGTGTCCGTCAACAGTCGATCGTCCGTCACACAAATTGTGATATTCCAAGAAAGTCCCGTTGATATTAAATCAACAGCGACTTGTAAACACCATATGATAAAAAAACAAACAAAACCCAAATGTTAAACTAAATTCCACATCACTATTTCAATTCAATTCAGTTCAAGTTTATTCCGGGGGCCCTACGACCCATAGGCATACATAAATATAATACATAATATTACATACATATGTGGAGAGTGATCTCTCATGACATGCATACAGAACACAGAAAGTAACATATACATGTATGTATACGATACACAAACAACATACTGACAGAGACGGGAGGTAACTCCGCGGCAATGTTATCTTGATTGCGATTACATAAATGCCGAGTCAATCTACCAATTATTACTAAGTTTTAATGAATATACATTTTACACCATTAGCAATAATCCTTGTATTATACAGACAGACAGACATACAGACACAGACAGACAGACAGACCCACACCCACACACGCACACACACACAGAAGTATAGGTAATAATTATTTTTCAGTATAGGTATGCTTTTCTTTGCATTCAAAATGATACATGAAATACATATGAAAGGTGTTTAACGATAACATTCGCGTTTAGCCAAAGTATGTTTTTCTTTACTTAACGGCAGAATGCTAAGGTATACATGGTTACAAAACATACCTATTGCATACGTATTTGGAGAGTGATCTCGCATGACAAGCATACCGAACACAGAGAGTAACATAAACATGTATGACACTGTATAAAATTTCAGCGTTAGTGGTTGTATGGATTTTAGTACACGTGCCACACACGTATGAATTGTATAAGGAACCCCCATGGGCTATGTGTTGTTCGTAAGCCTCTCACACTAATTACTAGGATAATTAATTTATCTGTCCGGTGATCTAATTAATTTCAGGATACCAGACCTGGCGAAGCGCGAGACAAGATCCGGAGATATGACCCGATACATTTACAGTGCAAGAAGGCCAACTGCAACGGGGTCAAAGCCGTCTAAATATAGGATTACAATCAGGAGAGTGAAAT